ATGTGTGACCTAAAAATTATTAATCCGTGACCAATAATTTGATAAATTGTGCCTTAAATATAATTTATGTTCAATTAATGTAATGTTTGTGACCATAAATAAGTATTGTGACTTATAAATTTTGGGATCTATGACTGAAGAACAAATTGTGACTTTCAAATTTCTAAGTTGTGACCAATAAACAAATTGTGACCTATGAAAATTTTAAATTGTGACCAAATTGTATAGATCTGTGACCTTAACATATTCACCGGAATCGGATCAGCCGTCGAAAATGTCGTCGGAACAATCGCCGGAATAGCCCCAGAGTTGTAGGGGTGGTGGGGGTGGGTTATTTATTTTATAGTAGAATTAAATATTAATAATAAATTAATTTAATAATTATTATTTCATAATTAAAAATTTAAAGAAAACCGATTTTTGAAATTTAAAACATGTTTTGATATTTTTGAAATTGGTAAAAGTAAATGCCTTATTTATGTAATCTTCCCTAAAATCTTCCTACTATAATATATGCCACGTACAACTTTCCACACAACCCGTTTAATGCAGCCCAATATATCATCTCCAAGCCGAAACTATTTTCCAGCCAATATTGTGGCTAGTTCATTCAAGCCTAACAAACACACTTCTTGTCTAGTCTAGATCAACCCAGAAGCCCAAAGTAATTTTAGCCTATTCTTGAATAATAGCTCATTTCATCAACTTGAATTCAATAGATTATCTAAATTCTCTCTCCAACCATCGACATACTAAATTCATGGACAAGTTTTATTACTTGATTTTCTAACATTCTTAAAACTTAACTGAAAACTAGAAAGTTACCCTGCTCATTCGTATACATATTCCTTCTTTCCTTCTTGAATCCAACATGAAACTCATTGTATTATATCAACCCACATGTAAGAAAACTGCGGTTACAATCAACCCAGTCAAAGCCAACTGGGGTAGAAATCGCAAAGGAGTCAATCATATGACAGCCCTATTCCCGTCAGTCGGTACAAAATTGAATGGACTACAATTACTATCAAGAAAAAGCTCTACAATATCAGCAAGAATTGGACCATTGGCATTAAAGTCGTACTCTGTTTCCAGGCTATCGACATCTAACAATGGCGAGGGGATGTTATTTTGCAGTGCCAAAAGACAACCTTCTCGTGTCACCAAAATTTCACCATTAACAACTATCCCAAAATAATCCGAATGACATCCCCAGCATCTATAAAGTATGTTTCTAATGTTTACTCGGAGCTTAGTGTATCGGTATCACTATTTCTTCCATGTTGATTGAATAAAAAGGATCAATTACCAGCCAAAAATCCATCTCCTTCCTAATATTTGAAAAGAGGAAAGAAAATGAAGAAGAAAACTAATAGAAAAATAGTTCAAACCCCATAGATAATTAAAAAGTAGGCACGTCTTATGTTTTACAGAAGAAGACCATAAAACTATTACAAACTGGAAAACAATTTATTATTACACTAACAAGAGAAGGAACTCAGCACTCTGTTAGATTAAACTGAACTCGACTATGTAAACATCAGCAAATCTTCATCGTATTTGTTTTTCTTACACAAACATTTATTTTTATTTTACCTAGTATTGGTCTTGATTTTCAATCCTCTTCCACTTCTTCTTCCTCTGCAACTTTAGTCTTTAACTTTCCCTTGTTTTTCACTTCATCATTCCTCTGATCGAACTTCTTTACTGCTTCTACATGCTTCCTCAGTAAACGAAGTTCTTTTATGTAATAATGAAGCCTGTCAATCATCAATCCCAGAAATAGGGAAACACCTGCAATTCATAGAATCTCAATTCCTCAAACTCTTTCTCCTTTTTATACAGGATATCAATTCACAACATAATTTATCTGATTATTTTCAAAGCTTTGATCGTATTTAGCAACTAGTACTTGCAGACATGTATATATTACTTATAGGCAACAAAAATTACTTCTGAAAGTGGAAGTTTGATTAGCAAATAGACTATTTACTCTAAATTTACTTGTGCATTTAAACTTACCTGCATGTAATTTTGTAATCAATAATCAATCCAGAAAATCCCAATTGATCAATTTCTTTATTTCTTTATCGAGTTTCCCGTTTTGGAAAAAGTAAGCAAAATTTTTGTTTACCTAAAAGTGAAGCTTCAAGAAGATGGTAGACCAACAGAAGCTGATCCGTGGGATTAAGAGGGGTCCCATCCGTTGATCGCTTCTGAGTGTTGATTATACTATACAAAATGGACACCAGAATCACAAAGAGAGTCCCTCCGGCGGTGGAGGCCACCACCGGGCCTCGGCCGCGCTTCGCCCTGTCCATCAAAAGGAGAAGTGGCTTCCGCAAAGGCGTTCTAAACAGAAGCAGCAGAATCACAAACACTTCTGTGAATACCAGACAAAACAGAGGCTGAAGCATTTTTTTTTCTGCGAAATTTTTTCAATTAGGGTTCAAACCAGCTGAAATTTGGTGATGTGAATTGGGGAGAATCCAGGAGACGTGGTTTATTAATAGAAGAAATCGTGGCATCAAAGGAAAAGCATGCTAAGCCCCGATTGGCCCCCATTATTTTAAATTTTTATAGTTGAAATAGTGTTTTTTTTGAAAAATTTGTGGTTAATTTTTTTTTTTTTTGAACTATGTGTAATGTTATTTTATTGAAAAATATGCAGTTGATAATAAGAGAGAAAAATGAATTATAATTATGGTGGCTAAACATAGACTAATATTCATTCTGTATTGCAATAAGATATGTCACAACTGTATTGATTGAAGGTTTTGTTACGTGTACACAGGGGTTGACACCCCCTCACAATAAAGGGGACTTGGTTTGACGTCCCGATGTACAAATAGTAAAATCCATTGAACAATGTAGAAAATCACATTGACTTGGTCCTTGTTTGTAAATTATTTTTCATACTAATTTTTGACTAACATTTTTCACAAAAATCTCATTTTTCAAAAATTACTCTTAATTGTTTCTATTTTTTTTTTTTACCACACATTCATAAAAGAATTTATTTTTCACAAAATCACTTCCAAAAAAATAAACTTCACACAAAAACTTAGTCCCTGTTTGGACCAATTTTTTTACTTCATTTTAATGAAAATTCCAACCTTTGCATAATCATTTATATCCCAATGGATCTAAATTTAAGTTTTGCTCCAATGAAAATATTTAAATTCACTTTTTACCTTTTTTGGACATCTTTTTTACATTTGTGGTCGAAAAATGCAATTCACATTTCCTTTGCATCTATTCATTAGAGAGATTTTCAATCACTTTGAAAATCTAAATCACAATTTAGATCTATTTTACACAACGATTAAATATGCTCTTAATGAACAAGAGAAACTAAGGATGTCAAAGGTTTGGTTGAAACGACTTTTGGCATATTTTCAAATCTCATCACTTAAAATGATTCAAGAAAAATATTTAAAACAACTTGAGATTTCTCAAACTTAAATGATAAAACCTAACCACTTTATTGGTGATGAAATAAAACAAATTTTATACATCAAACAATAAATCTAGATAGCAACAAAACCACGATAAAAGTGATGGTTCCTGATAGCTTTTCGGCTTTCAAAGTTTGCGGTGTCAAGAGGGTTTGGTGTTTGAGCTATGGACTATGATAGATTAATTGATTTATTAAGTACCATATTTAGATTATAATTTTAACATTTAAGGTCCGTTTGATAGGAAAATGTGGAAATGAATTTCAATTCCATATTAGTTGGAAAATAACTTACCAAACCCATAGAAATTCGTTTTCCATGAAAACAAAGAAAATGCAACTTAAAGTGGTTGTACCTTGGAATTCGGTTTCCATTTCCACGTTGCAATCAAACGGTCAACGTGAAATTCGTTTTCCTCGGATGTAACATTTTCCATGAAAAATGTGGAAATCAAATGAGGCCTTACATCTTATTTTGGAGGCTGGAAGGTAATTTATCATCGTGACCTTTGCTCAATTTAAATGGTCCAATTTAGTTTCAAACCACATTTAAAGTACTGAAACCTCAACCAAATCATTTTAAAAAATTTTGTCTGGTTCAAAACTATTTTGTAAGGCTCCAGGTGGCACCAAATTGACTGTTTCAAAACTAGGGTTGTCCGTGGGTGGGTTCTTCAGAACCGAACCGACCCAAAAGTTTCGGGTATTTAATAAATGGAACCGTCGGGTCCAAATATAATTAGGAAACCGTTC